GCGCCCAGCGCTGCCGGCACGCCAGCCCCCGCCCACCATGCTCGGGTTGGTCTGTGCCAGGCTGGCGCAAGCGCGCAGCGCGCGGCTGGGGCTCTGCTTCAGCAGCTCGATGCTGAAGTTGCGCATCCACTCAGCCCAGTCCTCCTTGGTGCTGCGCTGGCTCGACTCCCAGGCGCGCCGCAGGCTGGTCACGCCCTCTGTGCGCAGCCCCGTGTTGAGCCCCGCCTCGTCTGCACGGCAGGGTGTTGGGGGGCAGGAACGGGTGAGCTCGGGTTCACAGGCCGGCATGCTGGTGCCTCCTGGGCTTCCCACCAGCACATGGGCCTTGGGAACCAGGCCGCCCCCCTGCCTGACACCCGGCACCCACCCGACTGCAGCGTGAGGGTGCGCTCCAGGTGCAGCCTGTCGGGCGTGGACTGCCGCGGCTTGGCCAGGTGCTCCTCAGCCAGGAACCCGCTGCTGCTCTCCCAGTCCTCCGCCTCGCTCATGCAGGGCGGCTCGTGGTGCAGCAGCTTGGCCGACACGCGCGCAAACGCAGAGTGCGCAGGCATGCGGTGCCGCCCCATGATCTGCAGGGCGGCAGGCAGGGCAGGGGCGAGGCGGGGGAGTCAGCAGGCACGCCGGGTCGCCGCATGCCAGGTCCGGCAGCGGCTGGCCACCCACCCACCCACCCACCTTCTTCATGGTGGGCACAAAGATGGCGAAGTCGGGGCCGATGGCCAGCGCCACGGAGCACAGCGTGTCCAGTGCCCGCTCCCGCAGCTCCTCGCTGGGCCCGTCCAGCAGGCGTATGAGCGGGTGCAGCACTGCGGAGGAGAAGCCCGACAGCTGCATGCGCGGCAGCAGGTCCTGCATGGCCGCCAGCGTCTCCTCCTGCACCGCCAGCGGCAGCCCGCTGGCCCCCGGCACGATGAGGCGGTTGAGGGCCGGCAGCAGCAGCTGCAAGTGGTCCTCCAGCACAGGGCCCAGCGCGCGCACAGCGTCCAGGGCCGGCTTGACCTGCGGGGGTGGGTGTGCGGGGGAGGGTGGGGGGGTGAGGTGGGGGGCAGGGTGGTTGGCAAGGTATGGCAGGCACGGCCGCGTGGAGACCTCGCCAGGGACGCTATAGCGTCAACTGCTGCGGCGCCCCCAGGGCCACTGACCAGCGAGAAGTCGTTTGTGCGCTCCGCCTCATTCAGCAGGCTCACAAACTTGGGCAGCAGCTCGGGCATGTAGAAGCGGAAGTCGTCGCGCAGCGTCTCTGCACGGCAGGGGCGGCACAGGGTTGCAAGGGGGGGTCACTGTCCGTCCCTCCGATCTTGGCGCTGCTGCTGCCAACTTTCGCCACCGCACGCTGGCCCCCCGGCGGCGCGCTCACGTGACAGCTCTGCCAGCAGGGAGAGGATGTGTGGCAGCATGGCCGCGGGGCCCCCGGGCGCCCCCCAGAAGTCGTTGACCAGTGCCAGCAGGTCTGGCAGGAACTTGCGCACGTGCTGGCGCATGAGCACCACCAGGTCTGTCATCGCCCGCACCATGTCCACCCGCCGCTGCAGGTCGTCGGCGCCCCGCGTCAGCTGCAGCAGCACCGGCACCACCTACGGCACGGGCGGGGAGGAGTGGTGGGGGGCGGGGCGGCAGGATGTGTGCCAGTTTGCTGTAGATGGATGTGCATCCATTGCAGCGGGGAGCCAACCCACAGGCAAGCGCACTGCCCGCCCAGCGCTCCCCCAACTGCGCCCCACCTTTGGCAGGTACGGCACAAAGGAGAGGCCCATGGCCTTGATGATCTCGAACAGCGCCGCCACCGCCTTGCCGTGCAGCACGGCCATGGAGGGCTCGCGCAGCACCCTCATCAGCGCGTTGATGGCCACGGTGGGGTAGTAGTCCTCGCTGGAGGTGACCAGCCCCGCAGAGGGCAGCAGGTCCAGGGCCTGCTCGCCCACGCCACCCGGCAGCCCGCCTGCGCAGGCAGGCAGGCAAGCAGCGGGGGGAGGTGCAGCGTGTCGGGCGGTGGCGCGGCATGCCCTTGCGTCGCAGCACAGCGCGGCAGAGGCAGGCCACTGAATGTAGCCACCGGACAACCCAGGTCCCCGCCTCGCCCCACGCTACGCCGCACCCACCCGCCCACCAGCCCACCCAGCCCCGCTCACCCAGCTCCGGCGGGTTCTTGTTGGGGAACTGCGGGCGCACGCCCTCCCGCTCCAGCCGCCCCTCCCCCTGCAGCTCCGCCAGGTTGACCTTGTGTGTGTGCGGGTCCAGCGCGCCGATGATGCCCAGGACCTTCATCACCTCGCGCCGCACCCCGGGCGCGCCCTCGCTCAGCATGCGCAGCAGCACGCCCAGCAGCTGGGGGTACTCCAGGTAAGGCACCACCACAAACCCGGTGGACTCCACCACCTGGCAAGGGGCACATGCGAGTGCAGGCGCAGCAGGTGGGTGAGCGGCGACCAGGTGGGGCCCCTGCCCAGCGGCAAGCATGCGCTCCTGGGCAAGGATGTGTGCAGGCAAGGACGAAGCCGGCTGCTGTAGTCTGCAGCCG